AATGAATATGCATTCTCACTACAATAAATGAAGATGTACTTTGAACAACGAGTGAATGGAACTCTGACTCAACAATATGCTCTATGAATCTCCACCTAAGAAAATATAAACAAAAACACAATTTAAATGTTTTGTAATGAGCTCAGGGCAACAAAACTAATTTGGGTAAACTACACGGGAGACCACCAAACTATGGTCAAAAGTCAATGTGACCACCGAATTATTTTTTTCTCAATCAGACAACTAAACTTTTTAATTGATTCAATCAGACCACCGCACCGTTAATTTTTAACAGATGTGGTGACTTGTCTGTTAATAAATTTGTATAATTATATATTTGGTCCTTAATATTTACATATTCTATCAGTTTAGTCACTATTTTAATCCAATTAAATAAAAATAACTATCCAATTAGAACATGACACGTGTCAATACATGATTGAAAGGTTTTATTTATGAATTTTAAATTATTTAATTCAATGATTTTTTAACCAATCAATTGAAATGGAAAATAGAAGAACAAAGATGCGTTCAGGGAGAATCAAACATGTGATTGTGGGGGAGAGGAGTAATCAGGCAACCAAACCATTAGGCCAAAGCTCCCCAATGGTTTTAACTTACAACAATTCATATTTGACTTGTAGAAGTTTATTAATGATAAAAAATTAAACAAATTATTTGTTTAAATAAATAATTTTTTCTTTAACCGTTAATCGAACCGAAATTTATTTGAAAATTATTAACCGAACCGAATTAATTGAATTTTTTTCTTTAACCATTAATCGAACCGAAATTTATTTGGAAATTATTTACCGAATTAACCGAATAAAATAAATTATTTTTTCTTTAACCGTTAATTGAACCGAAATTTATTTGAAAATTATTAATCGAACCAAATTAACCGAATTTTTTTCTTTAACATTAATCAAACCGAAATTATTTGACCGTTAATGGGACAAATATTTATTTGAAAATTATTAACCGAACCAAATTAACCAAAATTTTTTCTTTAACATTAATCGAACCGAAATTATTTGACCGTTAATCGAACCGAAATTTATTTGAAAATTATTAACAGAATTTTTTTCTTTAACCATTAATTGAACCGAAATTATTTGACCATTAATCGAACTCAAATTTATTTGAAAATTATTAACTGAATTAAATGAATAAAATAAATTATTTTTCTTTAACCGTTAATCAAACCGAAATTTATTTGAAAATTATTAACCGGACCAAATCAACCGATTTTTTTCTTTAACCATTAATTGAACCGAAATTATTTGTGTAACACCCCCAACCCGTACCCGACCCGGATACGAGTTTGAGATGTCACATTACCTTTTTAAAGCATTATTCTTAACAAAATAACAAAACATTTGAATTATATTAAGAAAATACGATAATCTACATATATATATATATATAGGTTTATACAAGGTTTACAAAATACTCAGAGCATACACAACTTAACCTTCTATTACATGCCGACACTGATTTACATAACAAAATAACATACTATTAAGTTGCTTCTGATCTGATAGTTGCAGGAGTAATGTTCTCGATCGTCTACTTTATCGAATCCTACGTGTGCAACACTCACACGCTAAGTCATCGACTTAGTGAGGCAATATAATAATAACAATAAAATATAAAGAAATTGCCAAAATGAGATGGGTTGCAATAATAATATGAATGTAATCAATGCAATAACCATAAACATATTCTTTCACATAGACTTATCAAATTTCACATTCATAAGTTCACATTATTAAGTTCATTAGCCCATGATACCATATTGAGAACCTAAGGTATGTGAGTATTGTGAGGTTGTGCACTATGCTGTCACCACAGCTCGTATAATTGCACCGAAGTGCCACATAGAATTGCACCGGAGTGTAGCGTAGAATTGCACCGTAGTGCCATATAATAATGTCCATAAGGACCACATATCATTCTTTAAGAATCATATACATATACTAGGGATCAAGTATGTGTCTCACAAGACTTCACACATGTTCCAAAGAATATATATATATCCCAAAGGACCGCGTAGACCCTCTACCCTTGGCATGCCAACTATACCTATAGTTCTTACCTACATAACATGGGCTTTCACAATTCACATAATTTGTATCACGTAGACATAGTATTTTCATACCTTTATCACATAGACATATCATTTCCTGCATATTCATGTCACATAATGCATATGGTATAAACTCATATCATGTTTCATAATATGGAATGTAATCATGTATCAAAATATTGAATCTAGACTTATCATAAGTCTAGAACTGATTATAATACTATATTCATGCTATGCATATGCACTCACCTAGATTTCTTTGTCTTTCCCTCGATCGATCCTACTTGTCGATTGTTCCAGAACTCGATTAGGCTCAATATCTACATAAGCATAATTTTCAAGATGATTATCAGATGACTAAGTCTTGAAATTAACCTCTAATAGCCTAAACAATTTAAGGAATTGATAGTTTTTTTTATGGGGGAATCGGTTCCCCCCCTGTGGGGGTATCGATTCCCCTCTAGCATTCTGGAAATTCATATTCGTTTGAGGGGGAATCGATTCCCCTTGAATGGGTACCGATTCCCCTAGCCCAGAAATCCCATTTTGAGCTCGAAAATCACCTTATTTCAGCTCAAACCTTCCTATTTTACTCCCTTTAATATTCCTAACTTTAATACACATACTTAAACTCATTTCTACTCTATAATCACTTCTTTAAACTCCAAATCTAGTCAATCCTATGTAATTGCAAAAATTATACTAGTTTTGCAACATGTTCAAATTCCTATTCTAACACTTCCTATCCCTTAATGAACTTGATGACAAGTCAAATCTCACTTCCAATTCTTATTATGAACTCTAATCCAAGATTTCACTTTTCTACTTCTTTTCTTTAATTCTTCATATACTTCTCATCTTGAGGTTTTAAAACAAAGTAAACTTCCTTTAAGCTTAACTATTGCCTAATGGTCATAAATCAACCATAAATTCATCAAGAAATTCACTAACAATAGATCTTACCTTTAGCTTGGGTCTCACGTATGAAGAAGAAGAAAGAATAAGAGAACTCTGAAAGCTTGTTTTGATTTCATATACTTCCACGTGGTTAAATATAATACTAACCCCAAATAATTATCTTACTATAAAAAGACCATTTTGTCCTTCTAATCCTCCTTCTTTATAATTCAATCCTACACAAAATAACTCAAATAAGTCCTTGAACTTTTCCATCATTCTACTTTAATCACCAAATTCTGAAACTTTACAATTTAATCACTAACCCGGTATGGAGGATGTTATAATTTGACCGTTAATCGAATCGAAATTTATTTGAAAATTATTAACCGAATAAAATAAATTATTTTTTCCTTAACCGTTAATTGAACCAAAATTTATTTGAAAATTATTAACCGAATCAAATTAACCGATTTTTTTTTCTTTAACCATTAATCGAATCGAAATTTATTTAAACAAATAATTTGTTTAATTTTTTTTATCATTAACAAACTTTTACAAGTCAAATACAAATTGTTGTAAGTTAAAACCATTGGGGAGCTTTGGCCCAATGGTTTGGGTGCCTGGTTATCCTCCCCCCACAGACACAGGTTTGATTCTCCCTAAGCGCATCTTTGTATTTTTATTTTCCATTTCAATTGGGTGGTGACACGTGTCACCACCTGATTGGTTAAAAATCATTTAATTAAATAATTTAAAATTCATAAATAAAATCTTCCAATCATGTATTGACACGTGTCATATTCTAATTGGATAGTTTTTTTATTTAATTGAATTAAAATAATGACTAAATTGATAGAATATGTAAATATTAATAACCAAATATATAATTATACCGATTATTAACGGACACGTCACCACATCTGTTAAAAATTAACGGTGCGGTGGTCTTATTGAATCAATTAAAAAGTTTGGTGGTTTGATTGAGATAAAAAATAGCTCGGTGGTCACATTGACTTTTGACCATAGTTTGGTGGTCTCCCGTGTAGTTTACCCAAATAATTTTAGTATGCTACATAAACATGTCGGCAAGTATAGTCAGAGAAGTAATATCATCAATACAATACAATCCAAATCACACAAACAAGCATCATGATGTAGTCCGATCATCACATAGCATCGGAAACTCACATCCCTCTAAACTATTAACATTAGTACTTTGGATGAGGTTTGAGTCATATATGTATCAAGAACGAATATCCATTGGTCCACAATTATCAAATACTTCAGGTGAGACTTGGATTACACATGCATCATGAATGTACACCCAATTAACCTATTCCTCTAAACTATTTCGAATGAAGTCTAAGTCATATAACATTAGAACATCACCTAGCTAGTTTGAAAGAATTTTCAAAGATGGAAATCTTGGAGTTCCAGCCTAGAGACAGTTGAGATGGGTACATTATCGAGCATTTGCAAACTGAGCCCACTGGTCTTTTCATTTTCCAAGCAAAGGCTCTTTACATTTATAATTGCCATTATGGTGTTGGAGATGTATACGGGGAACTAACGTGTGGGAACCCACATTTCAACTTCCATTATTTGCCTTCAATAATTCATTTAGAATGTTTGTGTGGGCTCTTTTATATGTTGATTGATATTATACAAGTTGTCAAGGGTGTGTACTAGATTCCAAAACATTAACAAATCACCTCTTTTTAATTTAAACAAAAACCAGACCAATACTCTCTCATCATCTTTTATTTTTCTTGGTCTACTAACAAGAGGGACCCTTTGATTTTATTAACGTGTGACAGTAATGTCAATTCTACTAAAAAAATCAATCTTACAACTTTGGGATAAGGTTTTAAACAGCCCCATAATGAATAACACCATATTTTTATTGATCGAAGTCGTTTTATTGAAGTTCCGTCTGCAAGTCTATGGTCTAATTTAGTTGCTTGGATGGTTTCATGGATAACGAACAGGCAATTGAAAAGGAAAAGAAGAAGAAAAAAAATCTCTAACATCAATTATAAATATAAATAAAATCAATTACATTGTGAACAAGCACATATTTTACTCCTATATCACACCTAACAATCACCACACATTTCCATGATTTATGGAGGCAGGCCCTTTGGTGACACCTCTTCAAGACTCACTTACTAGGAGCTAGCAGAATCAATTATTCTTAATGTACATAGACATAATTCATGATAAATCTATATATGCATATATTTATATATGTATATGTAATTTTAAGATCCTTAAACCAGTCTGTTCTTGACTTAAGCAGTTGTTGACAAGGGGATTAGTGGTGACTTCCCTTCATTAAGTACACTTGATGAAGATGAATATGTTTATCCTTAGCCTTTTCCTGGGTAAAAAGAGTGATTGTAACATGCTTGAGAAGCCATTTTTGTAGTGTCATCATGCTGCCTGCTAAACTTTCTGCTGAATGAACTGTATTTGCCTTGCCTGTTCTTCCTTCTGGGATGTGATGCCTTTGGGATGAAAACTCCAGTGCCTTTGCTTTCTCTTCTGCAGATTTGCTCATAGACATATGGAGATTGTGTTGCTGGATACTTTGCTCCGGAGAATGTCTGCAATTTTTTTGACAAATACAAACTCAAACACCAGAAATTGCAGGAGATAACATGTTATTTGATGTGAATGAAAGGTTTAAAAACCTGGAAAGAAACTGAAGGACATCTTGAAACTGGGTCTTCATCGCCACCATCATCATCATCCATGATTAGCAGAGAGATCCGCTTGCTTAAGTCTGCAAAAAACAGATCATCTTCAAGCTCAACAGCCAACTCCATTCGAGCTTGGGGCAAGAGTAGTTTTTGGGAGTAGGTTTATTTAGGCAAGATTCCAAGAAAGGAAATATTTAGTTTCTAAATATTGAGACTCATCTTCCGTGCCATGATACGGAGGGGTTATATAAATAAGAAAGTGAAAAGGAGATGGGGTTGAGTAGGGGAAGAAATGCATGTGGGATGATGGGGTCTTAAATGGCAGTTAGCCAATCTGGCTAAAGTCCCCACAAGAATCATGAAGCGATGTTATGATGTTATCCGGTAGGAAGAAATAGATAAAGGAGTAGCAGCAAGCAAAGCAAAGCGATAATATCCCACACCCAGATATCTAATCATCTCCGACCATTCTTCGGTGTAACACGGTCAGCCTCACTTTCTCTATCCTTTTTTAAAATCTCAAAGGTATGGATAAGGATTCATAGTCCCCCAATCTCCCAAAATGCACTACTTGCAACCCAAGTGAATGAACCTTTTACACTTAACTGGTCTCAGCTGGTATCTAGCTAGCTAGATATTGCTGTCCTTTTTGTCCAGGCTTCAGCAAAAGGACAGTCAAACTTGGTAATCAGAGGATCTAAGAACTTCTTGTGGGGCATATAGCCTTAATTTCTTTAGAATTTGAGGGTTGAGAGTTGTTTTTTCCAGCTCCACACAATTTGAAGGGTCGTGTGTCGATGCAACTAGCTTGTTGTAATGTATAGGTTCATCATTCAAGTTGCGAGTAAATTGTGTTTATAGTCTTGACATTGATTGATCATTTCATTGTCATCTTCGTTTTCTTTACTTACATAATTTGTAAAATTGCAAATCATGCATTCCCATTCTATCAGAATGTATTAGCTCTATTAATCATATCCCAACGTCAGAATTTTTTTTGTCAATCGATTATAGAATCATTTGAAAAGAAGATGATGGGTTAACTTTTAAACAATCTGACATTGTTGTTATTATAATTATCAAAACGATTAACGGAAAATGAATATGGTGGAATAAAAATAATAAAAGATACTAAAATTTACGTGGAAAATTCAAAAGGAAAAAACCCACAAACAGAGGAGAAGAAAATTTCACCATGTTGAGAAATAAAAGATTTGATTCATATGTTAAATCTTAAAACTCTAATCCATACTTTCTATTTATAGGGATTACACCCTTACCACTGATTTGATTGTAACTTCATAGGCTGATCTAAAAAGAAATTAGGTCATAACTTCAACGGTTGTAGTGAGAAAATATAGTTCGAGGTTGTCGTAATCGATTTTTGTTCGGGTGCGAATTTTTTATTTGGTGGGAAAAGTGATGTGAATAAATAGTTTTTAAAATGTTTAAGGAGTCACCATCGGCCTTTTGGGTCAGGTAGGTCGAATACCTAAAAATTATCTTTTAAAAGAATTTTTAAGAAAACATTAGTTAAAAGATAAAATGGTCTACGTTTTAACCAAAAATTCGTTCTTTTTAATAATAAAAAAGGGATTTGTGGTCGATTACGTTTGAGGAAGGATTAGCACCCCCACAACGCCCAAAATTGGTACTCATTAATTATAAATTGTCTCTATTATTGAAAATTCTAAAAATTCAAAAATATATTTAATTCATAATCATGTTATTTCAATTTTATTAATATAATTTTAAGAAAATATATTAATATATATTTTTATTTTTATAAATAAGATATTTATTTACTTAGAAATATCAAAAAAAGGACTTCTAGGTGCTTTAAGACAACTCATTTCTTAATATTAAAAAATAAATAATATTAATATAACATTTAAAATATAATATATATAATTTATAAAAGTAAAATATTTATTTATTTAAAAATATTAGAAAATGGACATCCAGTTGCTTTAAGACTGTCCTTTCTTAATATTAAAAATAAATAAATATTATGAAATTATTATATGGTATTTCATATAAATATTAGTGAATAAAATATAAATAATAAAAAAATAAAGTACTAATTTAAACATATTGAAAAATGAATGACAATATAGAATAAAATTGTATTAAATAATGACTAAAATGAAATAATTTAAAACTGTGGAATTAAATTGTAAAATATATAAAATGAATGATCAAAAATGAAAGTAATTAGAATATCAGTGATTAAAATATAAAATATCTAAGTTAAAGGCCCTAATTCTAAATGTTATGTAATATAATAATTAACAATGTAATTTAACCATAATAATAATATAGGATTAAAATAATAAATAATAAAATTATAGGGGACTAAAATAAGTATTTACCCTAAAGATATATAAACACTGATAATGAATAAATTATAAGTAAATAAAATTCGGAAACAAAATCAAAATGCATAAAAAATTCAATTCCAGTGACTAAAATAGAACTTTATAAAACCTGGAGTATTGCGGGTATGATTTTTCCATAGGAAAATTATGTATATACCCCCTACCCAAAATGACACCGTTTGGGAGGGGTATATAAACCTCGAATGGCCGGCCCTTCAAGCCATTCTCCTCATTTCCTCTCTTCTTATTCTCTCTCTAACTGAGAGAGAATAAACAAATGATCTGCCCTCTCTCTAAAAGTCTCCGGCCGGAGGGAGACTAGTCACCGGCCGCCCGCCTTATTCCACTGCAGACCACCACCGCTGACCACCACCCACGATGGTCAAAAATTACAAAAATACCCCGATTTGTATATCTCACCAACATAAACGGGAATCCGACCTCCCCTTTTTCTAAAATTTTCCTGAACCTCGTAGATCTAAAATTTTACCTTTGAAATTCGGTGATTTCAGACGACTTTTGGGCTCTGGTAAGTTCTTATCTTCTTCGTTTTTGTTTTCCAATTGGTTAATGGTTGTCGAATGTTGCTGTGTTGGTGTTGATTTGCTCTCGGTGGTTGTAGTTTTTGCTCCGTTTCATGTTAGTTTTTATTTTTGTTGTCTTCCCCTCTGTAGTTGTTCGTATTTCTTCCTTGCTGTCCATGTCCTCTTTATTTTGCAGGGAATAGCTGGTGAACCCGACGTGAATCGGAAGTTACTTGCTAGGTCTGATACGGAGAATAAATTCTCACGAAGACGTTGCTTTCACTCCCACTTAAAAGGGACAAGCTTGATTATAAAACTTATGTTATGCAATGTCAGTGTTGTGTGTGAGGAAAAATATTCAAACCTTTGATAAACAAATAAATAATAAAATTTAATACCTGAAAATAAAACATTAATAAAAAATAAAATAAAATAAAATAAATATTATGAAAATCATAAGTAATAAAAATTTTGAAAGAAAATAATTAAAAATTAAATAAATATGAATCTTTAATTTCTAACTGATAGAGACAATTTATAATTAATTTCAAAGCTTGACCAATCCCAGTGGAGTCGCGAAGCTGTCGTAACCGGTTTTTGCCCGGGTACGAATTTTTTATTTGGTGGGAAAAGTGATGTGAATAAATGGTTTTTAAAATGTTTAATGAGTCACCATCGGCCTTTTGGGTCAGGTATGTCGAATACCTAAAAAATATCTTTTAAAAGAGTTTTTAAGAAAACATCAGTTAAAAGATAAACTGGTCTACGTTTTAACCAAAAATTCGTTCTTTTTAATAATAATAAAGAGATTCATGGTCGATTACGTTTGAGGAAGGATTAGCACCCCTACAAAGCCCAATATTGGTACTCATTAATTATAAATTGTCTCTATTATTGGAAATTCTAAAAATTCAAAAATATATTTAATTCATAATCATGTTATTTCAATTTTATTAATATAATTTTAAGAAAATATATTAATATATATTTTTATTTTTATAAATAAGATATTTATTTACTTAGAAATATCAGAAAAGAACTTCTAGGTGCTTTAAGATAGCTCATTTCTTAATATTAAAAAATAAAGAAATATTAATAAAACATTTAAAAAATAATATATATAATTTATAAAAGTAAAATATTTATTTAAAAATAATATATATAATTTATAAAAGTAAAATATTTATTTATTTATTTAAAAATATTAGAAAATAGACATCCAGTTGCTTTAAGACTGTCATTTCTTAGTATTAAAAATAAATAAATATTATGAAATTATTATATGGTATTTCATATAAATATTAGTGAATAAAATATAAATAATAACAAATAAATAAATAAAGTACTAATTTAAACTTATTGAAAAATAAATGACAATATAGAATAAAATTGTATTAAATAATGACTAAAATGAAATAATTTAAAATTGTGGAATTAAATTGTAAAATATATAAAATGAATGGTCAAAAATGAAAGTAATTATAATATCAGTGATTAAAATATAAAATATCTAAGTTAAAGGCCCTAATTCTAAATGTTATGTAATATAATAATTAACAATGTAATTTAACCATAATAATAATACGTGATTAAAATAATAAATAATAAAATTATAGGGGATAAAATAAGTATTTACCCTAAAGATATATAAACACTGATAATGACTAAATTATAAGTAAATAAAATTCGGAAACGAAATCAAAATGCATAAAAAATTCAATTCCAATGACTAAAATAGAACTTTATAAAACCTGGAGTATTGCGGGTATGATTTTTCCATAGGAAAATTACGTATATACCCCTACCCAAAACGACACTATTTAGGAGGGGTATATAAACCATGAATGGTCGATCCTTCAGGCCATTCTCCTCATTTCCTCTATTCTTATTCTCTCTCTAACTGAGAGAGAATAAACAAATGCTCTACCCTCTCACTAAAAGTCTCCGGCCGGAGGGAGACTAGTCACCGGCCGCCCGTCTTATTCCGCTACAGACCACCACCGCCGACCACCACCCACGATGGTCGAAAATTACAAAAATACCCCGATTTGTAGATCTCACCAACCTAAAAGCGAATTCGACCTCCCCTTTTTCTAAAATTTTCCTGAACCTCGTAGATCTAAAATTTTACCTTTGAAATTCAGTGATTTCAGACGACTTTTGGGCTCTGGTAAGTTCTTATCTTCTTCGTTTTTGTTTTTCAGCTGGTTGATGGTTGTTGAATGTTGTTGTGCTGGTGTTGATTTGCTCTCGATGGTTGTAGTTCTTGCTCCGTTTCATGTTAGTTTTTATTTTTGTTGTCTTCCCCTCTGTAGTTGTTCGTATTTCTTCCTTGTTGTCCATGTCCTCTTTATTTTGCAGGGAATAGCTGGTGAACCCGACGTGAATCGGAAGTTACTTGCTAGGTCTGACACGAAGAATAAATTCTCACGAAAACGTCGCTTTCACTCTCACTTAAAAGTGACAAGCTTGATTATAAAACTTATGTTATGCAATGTAAGTGTTG